TGTAGGGCGGTGAAATGCCCACAGTATCAAGGCGAGTACGGAAGGGATGGGTGGGCGTCAAGGTATGGACATCCGAGGGACCTGCATGGGCACCCAGCCAACTCTTTTATTTTACAGATGGAGAAACAGATCCAGAGAGGGGACAGTGACCTGCCCAAGGTCTGGCAGAGAGCACATGGCTAACCACAACAGAGGGGACTTGGGTACAACAACAGAGGGGAGTAGGAGCCAGATCCTGGCCAGAAGCCAGAAGCTCCTTGAGGGCAAGGACTCCTTCTAGACCCTTTATTCTCTTCTCCCTCCCTGCTGGGCCTAGCGCAGGGTGCAGCACGCAGTAGGTGCTCAAGAAGTCCTCTGTGGTGGGTGTGCCTGTCATCCTGACGTAGCTGCGATCAACTGCCATTCATGCCTTCATTCATTCGTTCAGCACTTTGTAGCCTGATGGTGTGCTTGGCACCCTGCTAGACAGGGGGATGCACAGCTGAATGACACAGTTGGCTTATCTTTTGGGGGGACTTCGGGGGTTACCCCACATTATGACCCATGCTTCCATCGTCTGGTAAACTGTAGTTTGGTCTCTGCCTCGGCTGGAGGCTGAACAAATCTGTTCCACTTCCCTCCCCCAGGCCATTTTCCCTCCTTATTCCTTGCTAGCCATAACATCCCTTCCTTTCAAGCTGCTTCCTTCCCCTCACCAAGCCCTAACTGACTACCGTCCCTTCCCCCTTCCCTGCTCTGCAGACCCCAGGGCAGAGGTCTTGGCTCTGCCCAGGTATCTCTGTTTCTGTCTCTCTGTTTCTGTGTGGGTGCCCTCCCCCACCCGCATCAGCCTCTGGAACTTCCCAGATATTGGGACCACCTCTCCTCTAGTTGTTTTTCCTCAGGCCTAAATAGTCCAGGAGAGGGGACAGGAAGGGGAGGTCGTGCAGTCCACACCAGGACCCAGGGCTGGTCCTGGGCTCTGGCTCCAGCATCCCCTTTGGGGAAAACTTCTGGAGCCCCCAGGGTGCTGACTTACTAGTCCAGGCCAAGGGCCTGAGCTCTGACCACCCACGCTGAGCCCCGGGGGCTGTGGCTGGGTACTGGCTGTTGGGTGAGTGCTCAACAACCCCCCCCACTGCCCCCTCCCTTCGAATCTGAGGATGGGGCCTGCGGTCTCCACTTCTTCAACTCTGTGGTTGGGTCCTTTGCACCGTCCATCCTACGGTGGGCAGTCTGCAGGTAACAAATGGTTCTTCGGAACCCAAATCCTTCCTTTCACCTGCTGGGTGACCAAAGTGACAGTGATTGGCCTCTCTGGGCCTCAGCTAATGATACCTGTCCTGTTGGTCTCACAGGTAGTTAGGAGGACCAGAGACCAAGGAGAAGAAAGAGCCAAACCCGGGTAAGGTCCTCGTTTTGTTATACTCAGAGCAGGGGTGGTGTCCTTGGCCGGGTGTTCAAGAATCACTCTGGAGGGCAGGAGTGGGAAAGGGGAGGAAGGAGGAAGCTTACAGAAGGGAGCAGCCAAAATGCTTCTTAAAGGGAAATTTATGGTCTTCTGAGAATCTTCTATTGAAAAAGTAGAAAGATGGAAAATTAAAGCATTCAACACAAGAAGTTGGAAAATAATAAAAATAATAAATTCAGGGGCGCCTGGGTGGCTCAGTCGGTTAAGAATCTATCTTCGGTTCAGGTCATGATTCCGGTTTCCTGGGGTCCCGGGATTGAGCCCCACATTGGGCTTCTTGCTCAGTGGGGGTTCTGCTTCTCCCCCTCCCTCTGCCCCTCCTCCTGCTTGTGTGCTCTTGCTCTCTCAAATAAACAAATAAAATCTTTAAAAAATTTCAAAGAAAATGGAAGAAAGGAAATGACAAATATGTATTTCTTGGCTACAAAATTCATATTCAGATTCAGAAATTCAGATTAGTATTCAAGAAATCCATAGGTAAGGAATGCACAGAAATAAGCAAGTAGGGAGTCAGTCTCAGTTCTGGGCCTCTCCTGGAGGGGAACATGGATTTTTCCATCAGTTTCTCCTGCGTTTCTGAGAGCGGGGCCCATCCTGCAGGGGCCTCAGAAGAATGGACAAACTCTGAGCAGAAGTCTTGTGACTTCCAGACCTGGGGCCTGGCCGTGCTGTGTGTGCCCTGAGAGGGCCAGCCAGAGGCCTACTGGCCCTTATTTGATATCCAAACTAGTGGGTTGTTTTTAATCTACAATTTGGGCTTATAATAACCATAGCAACATCACCAATAATCCTTTACACTTGTTATAGTTCAGAGTGCTGGTAAGGAAAGACATGCTGTTCCTGATAGGAATGAACACAGCGCTCTCATCAGGTCCTCAAACACCCTATCAGATAAGTAGAGAAGGTCTGTGCTCCATTTGGCGGATGAGTAAAGTGAGACTCCATTTGTCTGAGGTCTCAGTGAGTCGGTGAGTCAGGACACCAATGCTTCCAAGTCCCTTCTTTGCTCCTAAGATTCCTGTCTTGGAGACACCTGCTCTTTCTTCTTGGGGCTCACTTAAAGCCCCACTTCCTCCAGGAGGCCTGTGCTGATTATCCGGTTTCCTGAACAAGTTCTGTTCTCCTTCCTGAACTTCTCCCTTGATTAGGAAGTTTGGGATGGCTATCTTAGGTAGATAGCGTATCTCTCAATTTGAGTGTGAGCTTCCTGTGGTGGAGGGGTGGGGACAGTTGTAGGTGTCTTAGTGCAGGGCTGGGTTTGGAGAAGATCCGGGATCCTTGTTTGTTGATCTAGAATTTGGTTTGGCAGGATTAGGCCTGTACCCATCAGAATAGATTCTGGGCTGTGCCAACCCCCACGGTCGGGCAGAGTGCTTGAGAAGGAACCCGCCATCAGCTGGGGGATCCCCCATGTTTGTGCTTGCTGAGGCGGCCATGCGGTGCCTGGACACGTCAGAAAGTGCTGGGAACATAGGTCAACACTGGGAAAATCTCCTTATAGGATTGCAGGGTGGGTCGGAGACATTTTTGTGTCCAAGCTGCATGGGTCTGAAGGTATGATTAAGTCCCTGGACCCCTTCCCCCATAATTGGAGAATCCCAAAGTTCTGTGGTCAGTCTGTTTGACCAGGGGCTGACCAGTCCGGACAGGAGAGGTAAAAACAGACACACAGCTTTATCCACGGACAAATCTCAGCACTTTATTCATCCCTTGGCAGGGAGAAGGGGGCATTGCCCCAAGATAGTCAGCCAGCCAGGTGGGGTGGCTGGGATACGTATTGTCTACCCAGATAGTAAATACAGCACTGATTATGCAGAAACAGGAAGGGAAGCAATAAGTTAAAAGCCACATAAGTTACAAAAAATAACATATATATACTTTATGTATCTTGTATCCCCACTGAGGATTTGCTCCCTTGGAAACCAATAAATAGGCAGAGAAAGAGCAGCAATCAGCACCCTTTTTGGGACTTCAGGGATGAGTCTATGTCCGATTTCCCTCCAGCCTGAGCGTCAGTAGCCCTTCAGCGCCCCCCCACAGGCATGGAGGACCTTGAGGCCTTGCTGAAGCCAAGACCTTGGGGGATCATGTCCTGGAAAGTGAGATGAAGGAATCAAAGACTGGGGCTAGCAGAGGAGTGAGTCAAGGGAGAGGGAGGAAGCAGGGAGGGAAGGAGAGAGGGTGGGTGGTGGAGTGGGAAGCTGGAGCCACCAGGATGGCCCTGCAAGCCCCAAAGGTGAGAGCCAAGACAAGGAAAGAGGAATGCTCCTCCGAGCACCAAATCTTCTCTTTGGATGCAGAATTCCTTTTTGGTTGTCACTGGAGCACCCCACCTGGACCAGAAGGGCTCAGAAACTCCCAGACCTGCCTGGACTGTGCCTTCTTCATGGTCCCCCACTGGGGAGGTGAGGAGGGGGGAGTGGGTGTAGTGGGAAGAGGGGGCAGAGGGAGAAGAAAATAAGAAGTTCTAACCCCACAGGTGTGGGGTGTTCCTGGGCTCCCCAGCAAATGCAAGGAGGGATAGAAGGGAGGGCCGGGCTGTTCGGCTTGATGGAGAGAGCAGGGACCCTGAGAGGGGGAGTCATGGGAAATGGCCCATGGTTTCGTGGTGGGGGTGGGGCTGGGGGGTTCTCCAGACTTGGTCTACCAAAGCCAGATTTCAGGCTGGGTAAACACCTAGGCATGGGAAGGGGGAAAGGGTGTGGGGCTTGGGGGGGTGCAGAGAGCTTGGATCCTGGGCAGGGTGGTGAACCCTGGGGTGGCAGAGAGCAGAAGGAAGGGCCAAATTCCCCTGCCTGGTCTCGGGTTGCCATCTGGCCTCCTCCTCACAGGGGGTTTATCATGGCAAGATATCATGGAGAAGGAGCCAGAAGGGAAGGGGCACAGGCATCTGGGCTGACCTCAGAGGCCCATGCTCAGGTCCCACAGACCCGGGGAGCTTCCTCCCTTCACTCCCTAATACTGCCAGGTCTCTGGGGGCACCCAGATCTCTGGTGCAGGAAACCCAGGGGTGCTCCGCACCCAGCCTCCCCAGGAGCTGCAGATAGGGGGAGGGTGCCCAGGTCGTCCTCCTCTGCCCCTGATCCATGGCTGGCTGGGGCTGGGTGAGCGAGGGCACCAGCCTCGGTCCTGAGGCAGAGGCAAGGTAAGGCTTGATATCGGAGTTTAGGGCAAGGGTTGGGCGAAAAGTGTTGAAGGTTCCTTGGTCAGAGCCCTCTGTTTGGGGAGGAGCCTCAGAAGAGAAAGGAGGTGGAGAAAAAACTGATCCCCAGTTCCAGTTTCTCCAGTCAGAAGACCTCTGGCCAGAAGGCTGGAAGGGTAGGACTGAAATATTGAGATGGAGTGGTGTGATTCTTAATAGCTGGTGACAGTCCTGTAGCACCCTCGGCCACCCACAGAAAAGCAGTCCCGGTTTTGAACGCTCCCCCTTTCAGTTCAGGATCAGGTTTGCCTCCCCGCCCAACCCAGAGGCTCCAAGCTGCTTGCTTGAGTCCCGCTGAAGTCCCTCCAGCTGCAGGGGAGTGACCTAGGCTCCTGGGCTCCAGCTGCCTTACTCTGACACCTCTGACTCCTGCAACAGGAACTTCTCGGACATTTCGGTGATTTTGATCACAGGGCCTTTTCTGTTCTTCTTTTTCCGGGAGGGCGCTCTCGAAAGGCTGGGCTTGGAGGCGGCTACAGGGAACATAAGGGGTGGGGCAGGGAAGGGGCTGGAGGTTGGGGAACCACGTAAAATGACACCTTTAGGGTCAGGATTCCCAGCAACCGTGTTCCCTTCCCCGCCATGGGTCCCTAGGGAAGTAGACTCACCGGTTCTGGATCTGGACTGCACCACGCTGACCATGGAGGCTGAAGGCAAGTCCATTCTGGGGGAGGACAGAAATGGGAGCATGAGAAGGGGTCTGTGGCCGAAGCCCCCCCAACCCGCCCCTAGGCCTGGGGGCCCTGGGGAATGGCAGGTGGAGGGCAATTTTTGGTTGTTATTCCCAGTCCCGTGTTGCCCTGCTGTGTGACCCTGGCTAGCCCGTTTGTCCTCTGTGGGCCTCTGTTTCCTCTCCCCTGCATAAATGGGTAACATTTACAGAGCACTTAATTTTGACAGACATTTGCCTGCAGAATCGTATCAATCCTCCCCACCATAGACTGTGTTATGATCAGCCCATTTTCCAGATAGGAAAACTGACGATTTGATGAATGGGCCAAGTTTGCAAGTGGTTGAGGCTGGCCACAATCCCAGGTCTTCCTGACTCAGGGTAGCCTGATGGAGGGGAAGTCTGGGTTTGTGTGGGGGTGGCCCTCTAGTCCTGCCCTTCCCATGGCCCCTCACTGCACCCTGCCGGGGCCCCAGCCCTCACCGGCTCTCCTCGCCCTCCACCAGTTTGCGGTAGGTGGCGATCTCAATGTCCAGGGCCAGCTTGGTGTTCATGAGCTCCTGGTACTCGCGCAGCTGCCGGGCCATGTCCTTCTTGGCCTGCTGCAGGGCATCCTCCAGCTGGGCCAGCTTGGCTTTGGCGTCCTGGAAGGCCAGCTCTCCCTGTTCCTCCGCCGCCTTGATGTTCTCCTCCAGCTTCAGGCACTGCAGAGGGAAGGGGCTCGTGAGCACTGGTGGGAAGGAGGGAGTGGGCCGGGAGCCCACCTCTGCCCTCCGTCGGGGTGCACAGGGCAGGGAGGGCTGAGCAATGGAGTTCTTGGGTGTGGCAGGGGGTTGTCTTGCAGCAAGAGGGCATTCAGTGAGACCTAAGGAGATCCATTCCAGAGGCCATGAAAAAGGAAGGATCCACAGCGCCCAGAGGAGCCTGTCCCAGCTGTCCTGACAGGGCAAGCACCTTCCCCAGAGCACTGGCTGGAACCGAGGCCAAGGAGGGAGGAGGTGGGCTCTGGGTGTTTGTGGAGGTGAGGCTCTGTGTCACTCCCACAGCCCTGGCCAGTCTACGGAGCACCTTCACTTGTGACACTCTTGGGATCCTCACAGCCATCTTAGGAGGACAGGAGAGGAAACTGAGGCACAGAGCTGCTAAGTGACCTGCCCAGGGTCTTTCATGGACTCAGTGTGTGTGTGGGAGAGAGAGAGAGCCCTCGAACTCCTCCCTGCCTCACCCCCACGTGGGTCCTGCAGATACTCACATGGCTCTTGATGGAGAGGATCTGGGATCGAAGCTTCTGGATGCGCACGTTGAGGTCAGCGATCTCACTGCGGCTGCTCTGGAGGCTGTTCCCAAACTCAGCTGAGCAGGCAGCCCGCTCCTCCAGCTGGAGGGCGTGCAGGAGGTGACAGTGAGGGACAGTTGACTGTGTCCCTCCCAGCACCCTTGCCCCTTGCCCCTTGTGACTCCTTTTTTCTCTCACCTCCTAGGCCGTCCTCCTGCTCTGCCCCCCAGCACTCCCCGGGCCAGCCTCGCAACACCCAGCTCTGGCTGGGCCCACCCTTGGCCAGCTGTTACTGGGTGGCAGCACTGAGAGCTTCTGATGGGAGCAGACCCTGGCCTTTCCCCCATGGCATGGCCCCTCGGCCCCCTGCAGTGAGGGGCGCTCACATTCTCCATCGCGGCAGTGCTCCCCACTCCCCTCTCAGTGCTCAGAGCTGAAGGTGACTTCAGCCTTCCCCACTGCAGCCCCTCCTGCCCCCTCGGTCAGCCCGAACCTGTCTCCGGGAGTAGGCCTCGGCTTCCTCCAGGCTGCGGGCCGCGATGGCGTCATACTGCACCTTCACCTCCTCCACGATGCCGCTCAGGTCGATGTGGCAGCGGCTGTCCATGCCCACGGTCACCGACACGTCCTTCACTTGGGCTGCCAGGTCCTTCAGCTCCTGGCCGGGCACAGACGTGGGGGCCTCAATATTTTCATTTCTCCCCATCCTTTAGGATCCTCTTTCCTCCTCCTCTCTGTCCTTTTCTCTGCTTAGAAAATGCTAGCATTTCCCACTGGGGGACTTGTCACAGGCCAGGCTCTGGCTTTCCCGCTGTCCCCCCCACTGTCCTCGCCAGGCCCGCAAGACTGCCAGCCCCAGGTTACAGAGAGGAAAGACATGGCGGCACGGAGAGGCTATGGAGACAGCTGTGGGTGGCCCCCAGAGCCCTTGCTGCTCCCGCCAAACTCTCCTAGAGGGGCAGAGACAGGAGCCGGAGCCTCTGTCTGTCTTTCTAGCCCCAGCTTTGCAGCCGCATTGCACATTGCCCTGTCACAGTGAGTCAGGTGGCAGGGAGCAGCCAGGCACTGTGGGAGGCAGGGGTGGGGCTCACCTGGGGGAGGGAGGGCGAGGGGCCCACAATTACTCCTGCTGGCATTCACAGGTCCCCCTGTCCCTTACTTAAGTACTTCAGTCAGCAAGTCTTGGTCAGTGTTCCCATTTTTCTGATTGCCTCATATATGTGTGTGTGTGTGTGTGTGTGTGTGTATGATATACATGGTTTTTCTTTTGTTTGCTTGTTTGTTTGAATCTGTGAATCCGGACCCAAAGAAGATCCCTATATTACAAACAATCCAAGTCTCTCTTACTCTGTAGGCACGCCTCCATCTCTCTGTCTCTCTCCCCCTCTCTCTTCTTTGCTGTTTTTTGTACTGAAAACACTGGGTTGCCTGAAGCAGTCCCCACAGCCTGGACCTTACTGGCTGCACGGTGGGCTGGTGTGGAACCTGCTCTTTGGCCGTGTGCATGTCCTGAGACCTGGCAGCTGGAGCTGAGGCCTGCTCAGATCCAAGTTCAGTTTTCATCTCATGACGGCATTCTGACCTTGGGTGCTGACTTCGGGCCCCCTGCTGACCCTCAGTCTGGCCTTATGCCACAGAGTGTGTGGGGTTGAGCCTTTGGAGTCTGCAGCTGCCAAGGCCAGTGCTCTGACCCCCAGCTCGTACCCTGCAGGGTGGGCTGGGTCAGTTAGAGCCCCAGGGATGGCTGTGGAGGCCTGCTGAGGAAGGCTGCCCCTCCCTAGGCTGCTGGCTGCCCGACCCTGCCTACCCACACCCCTGGTGACCAGGATTGGCTCCCACAAAAGGAAGCTTGGGGCGAAGGTCTGCTGCGGGAACCCTGTCTCCATCCCAGAGCTGGCAGGACCCTGAGCCTAGTGGCTGGCCACCCCGTGAGGTCTCCTGATGAAGGATTTTGGTTGATCTTCAAATGAATTTAATAAACATCTCTGGGCAAAAGCAGGAGGAACGCGCGGCCCCTTGGCAGAATGAGGTGGATGGTACCTACAGACTCATGTCCCACCTTTGCTGCTCGGGTCACCCTCAGGGATTGACATTGCCCACATGGAACCGGGTCCTGGGCAGGCCTTGGCCATGGACACTTTCAGGAATGCAGCTTTGAGGCTTCCTTGGTCAACGTGCTATGGGGACGATCCGTGGGCATAGAGAGTTCCAGAGAAAGCCCTTTAGCCCAGGCCCGAGCTGGCATTTGTTATGGGCCAGGAAAAGGGCCGTTGTTATGTTGGCATTTGTTATGGGCCGGGGCCTGTCAGAATGCACTGGAGCAGGGCTTCTCCTAGCGGGGAGAAGGGACTGGCAAAACTGAGCAGACGGAGCAGCCTCAGATACTTTCTGGAAAGAGGTGGGGTAGGCATGAGCTTGGTGAGCAGGAGTAGGAAGTGGAGGGTTTAGAGCATCTGTAGGCCTGTTGAGGCACGCTGGCCCCCGCTGGGCCACAGATGGCATAATAATGCTGGCTTGCATGCTGTCACCATGGGACGGGCCCTCCAGGCTGGCAAGAACTGAGCCAAAGTGAAGTTTAAAGCTTGTCTTCAGAGCTGGGGCCCGAGCAGACGGCCTCGTGTGGGACCATCTTGTTTGTGGTCCCTGGGTTAGGGGAGGCGGTGACCCTCAGAGGGGATTTAGTGCTGCTCCATGAAATGTCATGCTTAATTAATGGCACCAGGCTCTGAATACTAACCCCTTCTTAGCAGCTGTGTAACCCTGGCCAGGTTTTTAAACCTCTTGGAGCCTCTGTTTTCTCATCTTTAGAATGGGTATGATTATAGAATTGAAACCAGCTAGCATCTGTACCAGATTCTGTTCTCACCACTTTAGGATATAGTAACAAAACAGATCCTCACCGCAGGCCAGTGAGCTGGGCTCTATCATTTCCCCCATATTACAGATGGGGAAACTGAGGTATAGAGAGATAGAAGAACGTGCTGGAGCTCACAGAATGACGGACCCAGGATTCAAATCCAAGCTGCTCTAACCATGATCCCTCCCTTTACAGGGTTGCCATGAGGAGTGAATGAGATTACACCTGGAAAGCATTTCTCACTGTGCCTGGGGCATAGTAGGTGCTGAGTAAATAGTAGCTAAGGATACTACTATTGTAACAGGTGATAAATGCGGGGGGTGGGGGTGGTGGAGAGGTCCAGGCACCGAGGAGTCTATTCCTGGAGCAGCCTCCCTGGATGCATGAAGGCAGGCACCAAAGCAGCTTAGGCACACCAGGCTCTCTCTGCAGAGAAGGGCCTTCTGGGAGGTGCGCCGGCTGCGGGGGGCTGTCAGTAGATTGCCCAGTTCGTCTCCCCAGAACAATAGCTTATGTACGAGTGGAGTGGGTAGCATTCAGGCTGGAGGCAGCCAGGCCCCAGACACACCTGGGAGCTGGCGTGTACCTTGGAAGCAGAGGGGAAATGTGAGCCCTTGGGTCCTCTCGCCAGCTCATGTCCCTGGAGGTGAAGGGCAGAGGGGTTGGCCCGGAGGCTGCAGTATATATGACGAGGCTCTGAGTGGCCCATGGCCATTAGCATCTGAGAATTTATCCTGGCCTCATGCGTGCGTACATGTGTGCATGCGGGCTAGAGGGAAGGGCTGTTTTCTGAAATGCATGAAAAGCCATGCTTTTCTGGTCTGGTGTGTGCTCCAGAGTCAAAACTAGAGTGTGCAGCCCTCCCGGGGCTCCTCGCGTCCTGCCATGTTTTTCTTTCACCCGAGACAGCCATGATGGGCACCTTCCTCTGTAGAGACCTGCTCGGTCCCACGAGCCCTGTGTGGTCATGGGCACTTGAAATTCGGCTAGTCCGAATTGAGATGAGTTGCAGGCGTAAGGTGCACATCTGATTTTGAAGACTTGATGTGGGGAAAAGATTGTAAGAGAGTCCATTAATTTTTTGTATTGGGCGCCTGGGTGACTCAGTTGGGTAAGCGTCTGCCTTCGGCTCGGGTCATGATCCCAGGGTCCTGGGATGGAGCTCCGCATCAGGCTCCCTGCTCAGTGGGAAGCCTGCTTCTCCCTCTCCCACTCTCCCGGCTTGTGTTCCCTCTCTCGCTGTCTCTCTATCTGTCAAATAAATAAAATCTTTAAAAAAATAAAATAAAATGTAGTTACTAGAGAAACAGTTGCACGTGTAACTGAAAAACAGTTACTGTTTCTCTTAGTGCCAGTTTAGAGACCCACTGGTGTGGGGAATCTTTTTACCACGGGATTAGGGCTGCCTTCTCAGCCTGCAGCAGTGCCTGGAGAGAAACACAGACCTTACGACCTGACACCAACTTGGCACCTTGCTGCCCCCAGAGTAATAATCACTGGTCCGTGCACCGAGCAAGCCCACATTCACAGCAGTCCCTCTTCTCCACAGCACTGCCGTACAGCACGAGCCATACATTTACCCTCTCTGTACCACCCCCTGCAGTACCCCCAGGAGCCGCCAGTCACAATGAGAATGAGATCCAAACCCAGCCACAGCTGCTCCTTCCTCTCCCCTTCGTCACCAGAGTCACTGCTGCCTGAGATGCTTGGCCCTCCTTCTGTCCAAAGCCTTCTTGGCTCTCCACCCGGCCGGTCCTCCCCAGTCTGGACCTTCCCTCACTTGTACCACTTGCGAGAAGCCCCCTGACCTTGACTTTCTCCTCCCCCTCCAGCAGGACCGCATCACTGGGTTCTGGGCAGCCCGGCCCTTTTCATCCTCCCAAATGATCTTGCTCAGATATCTGTTGACTTGCTTATAACCTGTCTCCCCTCTTAGCTCGGTGGCAGCCCCCGAGAGCATGGACTTGGCCCATCACGCTCATGGCTGTGATACCGGAACCAGGCACCCAGCAGGTGAGCAATAAACACTTGTTACACAGAAGAACGGATTTAGTCATCAGCAGAACCTGATGAGCCTGGTATTATCACTCTCCCCATTTTACAGATGAGGAAACAGGCAAAGAGAGGAGAAATAACTAGTCTGAAAGTCCTAGAAATGCAAAAGGAAAGCCAGGATTGGGGTCCAAGGGCTGCTAAATCCAAATGGAGCAGGGCCAAGAAGATTTGTAGGGGCGCCTCTGGCAATGCCCAGGCCTGTCCCTGGCCATGCCTGGCCTACCTCCAGTTAAGTCTCTATGCCGGCTGGGCCTCGATCCTGGCTGGGAGCTCGGGCTCTGGGCTTGCCGAGGTGCACAGAGCCCAGTGCAGAATCTGAAACACTAGGCCCACTGCTGTCTGCCTGGCTCCACAGTGAGTGTGGGCAGAGGAACTCCTAGCCCACTTCTCCGGCCCGTCAGCGGGCCCCGTGACCTGCTCATCTCCAGAGGGCTCAGCCAGGGGTGGGAAGCTGCTCAGGGCAGCCGATGTCCTGGTCTGCCTGGAACGGCTACCTTCCTGCTGCTCCCCAGGGTTGTGCTATTCTCTCCGCCAGGCCACCTCCCAGGGCCACAAACAGGTCTCAGGCCCACTGAAGACCCTGCTGGGGGCCGAGCCTGCTGGAAAGCAGAGTGGCCTGTATGCGGCCACAAGGCCCCATCTCCCTCTCCACACGACGAGGCTGCCAAGCTGTGGTCAGCAGCCCCTAGGGCCACTTTAGCAGAACCTTAAATTTAATTTAATTCTTATTTTTTTAAAGCCTTATTTATTTATTTGAGAGCGAGCGAGCGAGCGAGCAAGCAGGGGTAGGGGCAGAGGAAGAACGAGAGAGAATCTCAAAAGGCTCCCTGCACGGCGCTCGATCCCACGACCTTGAGATCATGACCTGAGCCAAAGCCAAGAGTCAGACACAAACTTAACCGACTGAGCCACCCAGGTGCCCCCATTTTAGCAGAACTTTCTGATGGCAGCGGTGACTTTGATCCCTGCTCTGATCTTGGTTGCACTGCCATAGTTTGGCACCAGCGGTTTACGGCACACTGCCTGCCAAGTCCTGCCACCCCCCCCCCCCCCCCCGCCCGCCTGCTCCTAGCTGAACTGCAACATGACGCTTCTACCTCCGGACACAGGGGATGTGGAGCCCGGAGGCGGAGTGGAGTGGAGGGGAGCATATGCAGGCAGCAGCAGGGCCCGTCTGTGGACTGCACTGGCTGCGTGCTAGGCCTTGTAGGGTCATTGTACCCCCAGGCTCAGCAGAGGACTTAGGGACACAATCAGAAGATATCTGGAGGCTCCCCGTCTGCATTTACCAGGTGCTTTTTGTTCTGGCAAAAGCTAGCATTGTCTGGGAACCCAAGAATCTGACTGCAGGTCCTCCCTGCCTAAGCCCCGAACCGGGGAAGGCCAAGGGCATGACTGTCCGGCCTAGGCCTGTGGGTGCCTGCCATTTACGCTGCAGGGGTGGGAAGAGATGAGTCCAATAAGAACAGCTATTCTCGGGTGCCTGGGTGGCTCAGTGGGTTGAGCCTCTGCCTTCGGGTCAGGTCATGGTCTCAGGGTCCTGGGGTCGAGTCCTGCATCGGGCTCTCTGCTTGGCAGGGAGCCTGCTTCCTCCTCTCTCTCTCTCTCTGCCTGCCTCTCTGCCTACTTGTGATTTCTCTCTGTCAAATAAATAAATAAAAACTAAATTAAAAAAAAAAAAAAAGAACAGCTATTCTTAAGTTGGTTCCCTGTCTCTCAAGCCACTTTCCAACCCTTGCCTGGATGCATGGGTCCCCAACATGCCCTCTGCACTCCAGCACATTCCAAGAAATAGGTCCTTCTTGAGCATGAGGCCTCTTGGGAATTTGCCTGTGCTCCATGAAAGGAGGGGTGAGGGGACGCATTGGGTTATTGACAGCAGTGCGGGAAGGGGATGGGAGAGCATTAAGTCTGTGTTATGTCTGTGATGACTGCTGAAGGTTCCATGCCCCGCTAGACACCCTTCCCTCCCCCGCATCCCTTACCCGGGGACAAGTCAACTCTTGGCTCAATGGGATGCTGGTCTCATTTTCTCACCTGCTCATAGATGTTTTTCATCAGCTCCACGAAGCTCTGCAAGCCTTTTAACTTGGTTTCCAGTTCGGTCCGACGGAGACACTCCGCATCCAGGTCCTGGGGGTGGGAGCAGTGGTGAGTGTCGGGGAGGTGTTCCAGGGTGGGAGTGGGGTGCCCATCTTCCTGAGGGAGATGGGGGTCATTCCCAAGGAAGCCCCGGCTCAGTGCCTGGGAGAAGCCGCAGGGTGAGGTCAGGTACCCATATCTGTCTGTGGTCCCGGGACTCAAGCCTTGGAGGGCTTTGCTTGGGGAGCCTGAGGGAATGAGGGCAGAGGGTCCATGAGGAAGGAGCCCCTGGGGCAGGTTGGGCTGGCTACCTTCTTTAGCTGGACGAAGGTGAACTCCATGTCTGTGCGCTTGGAGATCTCCTCCTCATACCTGGGAGGGGAGAGGGAACGAGGCAGCAGGAGAGAGAGAGAAAGAGAGAGAGAGGCCACTCAGCTACAGATGGCAGGAGCTTGGGGTATGATTATCCCTCCTGGACCGGGGCTCAGGGCCTTTGCTGCCGCATTTGGTGTCTTGCGCACCAAAACTGACCTTTGCCTTGGGTAAGATATAGCCCCTCGTCTATGACACATCCCATCTAAGCCCATGACACCATTCTCTCACTCCTTCCAGATGATCAGCTAGACCTCTCCCCAGAGGCATCTGTCTCCTTCCCGGCTCGTCGTCATAGCCACCTCCTCCAGGAAGCCTCTCCTGATTGCACAGCCCTGTCACCCTAACTTTGTTCTCTCACCTTTTCCCTCTCTCCTCTCCCAAGAATCTCCATTTCCTACAAGCTGTGCCTTTGGCGAAGTCTGCTCTGAGCTGTCTGCTCACAGATCACCCTCTCCCTCCTCCCACCCTCTCCTCTGCAATTGCTAGCTGGTAGGACACCATTCCAACACGTTCCCTCCTGAGGGGAGAGTGTGGATGTTGCAGAGAGACCCACAGTGTATTCTTGGGCAGGTAACTGCACCCTCCTTCGTCGGCTTGCCCATCTATTAGGGGTGTGTGTGTGTGCATGTGTGTGCACGTGCAGGGTTCAGACCAAGCCCAACCCTGACACGGTGACAGATGTGCATAGTAGACCCTCCACGAGGGGGGTTCCCTCTCTTACCTTTGCCTCCTCCTTGCTCTACTCCTCCTTGTGTTTGCAAGGAGGACATTGTTGGAGGAGAGACGGATCTCTGGGTCTCTGACCTTAACCCCTGGCTCTAATCAAACCTCTTGGCCCTCTCCGGGCTGGGTGTCTGCCACCACAGACTTCTCCCCCTCGGCCCTGCCTGCCTTCATGGATGTGGGGCTTCTGTGGCTTCCTGTTTTCTTCCCTCCGTTCCAGGGAATGCTTGAATCACTGGCGGCTCTAATTACAGCCGCCCGCCCGCCCCGTTCCCTGACCTCATGGGCAAGGGCAGCGTCACCCATCGCCCACGTCAGCTGGCTGGGCCCGCCATCACTCGGGCCTTGTTTCCTACCAGCCTTTACCTGAGAAGCTGAGGGGAGCAGACCCCAGCGGATGAGAGCCCGCTGGACACTGGGTCTCTGACACTCAGTGTGCTTAGCATACACGTTTTCCTGGCCACAGCCTTGGCTTCCCGGGGTCTGCAAGGGGCTCTCAGGGTGCCGGTCAAGGGCATAGTGTGGAGGGAGGACAGGGGGAACTGGTTGGCATTCTGGGGCCTACCAGAGCCAACAAAACGCCCAGGAAGCTTTTACTTGTGCCCTTTTCTTTGCAAGGAAGCTCCAGAAACTCACTACTTGGGTTAGATCCTGGCTCCTTGCTAATAGGCCATTGGACCATGGCTAAGCTGCTTGTGTGCCTCGGTCATGACAACACTGATGTCATGAGGGTTATATAAGTCAATATACGGAGCGTTTACAACAGTGCATGACACCTGCTAAATCTATCATTATTACCTGAGGTCTGTTCTAGCTAACACCAGCCTTGGCCTCTAGCATTTCTGGAGAGGAACCGTGGGAAGCCTCATGCAGAGAGTGGGTGGTTCTCTGCATTTCCATCCCAGACTTTCCACTGGGAATTTGGTAGCCTCTGAGGGGTTCTGTGCCCAAGCTGAGAAGCCCCTCACTAGCTGGCCCTCCCTGTGTAAGCCCAGTGGTCAAGGCTCTCCCCTTCTCCCCTCCCATCTGGATAACACAGTTCTGCCTGCTTGGGGGCAGGACCGTAGAGAGAGCTGTCCAGGGGGTGTTCTCTGAGGTGTCGAACCTCCCTCCTCTCTATCCCTCACTGTCCTTTTAGTCTTTTTGTATAGTCTTCCCTCCTCCTTTATCACCAGCTCCACTGGATTTCAGCCCTAGTTCACCCCCTCACCCAGATGCTCTTGTGCAGTGAACCTCCTACACAACTGTACACGACACCCCCAAGTCATTTGCTCTGTGGCCTTGGGCAAGTGGTTTCCCCTTGGGGGGCGTCAGCTTCATCCTTAGTAAATACAAGGGTTAGCTAGATGATCCTTGGGGTCCTGGCTACATCCTTTTGGAAGTCTCTATCATTATAGAGACTTAGGTAAATGCTATCTCCTCTACTCTACTCCTAATCCCCTGCCAGTCTGCCAGCCACTAGTTCCCAAAACCATTCCCTGCCCTTTTCAGCTTGTCACACCCACCCCGGGCTCCCCCCCCAACCTTGTTTATTTCTGGGAGTGAAGCTGATCTCATCAGCCTTGTAGAGGCAAGGCACACCCCTCCCTGTCAGGGCTTGGCCTGGCGTCTCCAGGCTCCTGGGGCCCCCCAGGCTCTACACAGCTAGGCTGCAGCTTCCCCAGCTCTGGCGGTGGATCTAGAAGCCCTCCAAACTCACCTCCCCCAAATCTGGTGGGTTTCCTACCCAGAGACAGGGAAGAGAGGCCCTGAGCCAAAACGGCAAGCTCAGGCTACAGGTGGAAACCAGGCGGCCGGCCAACTGAGGAGGCTGAACCAGATTAAAGCAACAAGTAGTGTTTGTACAGAACTTCCAGTTACAGTTTCTCCATGGATGTGATCTGGCTGGGCTCATGGGAGCAGCCTCCTCCCGCAGCTGGCTGGGGTTACAGATGGTCTTAGTGCACATGACTCTGTGACCCAGGACAACTCCCTGCCCTCTCTGGGCCTGTGTTTCCTTCCCCGTGAAAGGACGATCCCAGGCCCCCCTCCAGCCATTCTCTGGTTCTTTGAGGACCAAAGAGATGCCAGACATCAGTGAAATGACTCTTGGATTCTGGTGTGCTAACATGATTCCCCTCATCACCATCGGATACTGAAACTAGGCAGCTCAGAATGGGCAGTGAGGTTCCCCGTGGGTTTCTGTAGTAGGGCGGGGCTGGGGGAGAGGTGGCCCCTCGGCCATGGAGGGGCCCAGCCATGAGGAGGAGTCCAGTCCAGGGCTGCAGATCACGCTTATTGGCCAGAAAATTCCAACTAGATCCACAGATAAGGAACTTGAGGCCCCCAGAGTGGGGAGAACTTGCCACGTGACCATCTTCTCTGAATGTGGCCTGAGCAGGGGAGGTCACGTGGAGAGGGGGTGGACAAGCTGAGCCACAGCCCAGATCTGGGCTCTAGACAGGCTACCCCAGGCCCTTGGCTGCTCCCAAGACTGCAGGCCTTGCCTTGGGTTGGCAGATGCTGGGGCTGGGCCAAGCGCTGGAGGAGGGGAGGGGAGGGAGGGGTCCAGGCACATCCCACCCTCCCTCACCCAAGCTGAGGACCTCCTCAAAAGGAGACCAGACCAGAGGAAGGAGCCCAAGGACACAGCTTCTCTGCTTTGTCTCAGCTTCCCCGTCCTTGAAGCCTTGCCCGCTGTTTGGTCACAGATGTCACCTCTCCTGTGAGGGACCCAAGCACCTGGTCTGCCTCGCCACGCGGCCCAGTTTAGTTCAGCAAACCTCTGTCAAGGACTACTGTCAGCCTTCTAGGGGGTAGAAGAGTGGCCATTTATGGTGGTGTGGGGCCAGGTTGAACTCCCACTTCCTCCTCTCATGCCAGCCTCAGAACGGCTCAGCATCACCCTTCCCGCTCCACACGGCGGGTACTGAGGTTTGGATATTGAGTGACTTGCCCAAGGTCACAGAGCTAGTGAGGGGTGGAGGCCAGGAGTGAACTCCTTCCAGTCTGTGAGCACCTCACAGGCCGGGGCTGTGGCTTCCTCATCACTCTAGACCCCAAGGCGCCCACGGAGCTCAGGCAGGCATTACCCACCGAGACTGTGTCTTTATTCTGACAGACCTCACCGTTTCTGTCCCCTGCCTGTCCCTGCTTCCCTTTCCAGCCCACTTGAGATCAAGTTTCCAAACCGTATCTGAGGCAGGAGCCCATCAGTTGCTCTAGCCAGTGACAGTTTCCCATTGCCAGTGGAATGTGTGGGTGAGAGCAAGTGTGTTTACGGGCACAGGGCAGGGGACAGGGGACAGGGGACAGGGGACAGGGACTGAGGTGGTGTCTGAGGCCAGCAACCGCACGGCGTAGCTGCCAGTCAGCATGAGACTGACTTGGTTGCAAGGGCCACTATTTGAGACGGTGGCTCTGGGTTCACTGCCATCTCCTCCCGGTATTTAGAATACCGGCCGGCCCACAGTAGGTCCTCAGTAAGCACGTCTGTAGTAGATAGATGTTCTTTAAGGACCTTTTCTCATTTTCCGGCTTGGGTGCCCGAGGCCTTGCCTCGGGGCAGGTTGGTTCCCACCCTCCGTCCCTGCCCACTGCCCCTCTCGGCGCAGCCCACCTGATTCGAAACTCCTCGACCTTCTGGAGCACCTGCATCAGGCTGGCCTCCAGCTGTCCCCGCTCCTGGTTCACTTTGCGTAGCTCCTCCTGCAGCCGTGCTTGGTACCCCTCGTAGAGGTGCCCGAGGTCGAAGGTGCCAGAGTCCTGGCCTTGCAGGAAGTGCCAGCGGGTCTCCAGCAGCTGGTTGCGCTGCTCCAGGGCCTGTACCTGGGAGAGGAGGGGAGCGGCGGTGAGAGCGCCTGGCATGGACAGGTCGGGCGCCGAGGCGCCGGGCCAGGCTTCGGGCCCGCATGGGGGCTGCCCCGGGCCCGGGGAGCTCATCTGCTCTGAGCTCACCACCCGGGACCTCTCTCGGCGCATCCAGATCTCATCTCCAATTGCTGATGCTTCACACAGAAGATGGCAAGATAAGGAGGGAATCAGAAAGGGGTGGAGCCAATTAGCGAAGGTTTCCTCAGGGAGGAGCAGGGCCCAAGAGAGGAGGGAAGGGGCTGAATGTGCCAATGAGATGACAGGCCCTCCACGTCTGCCTGGGGCTTGGGTGGGAGACCCCAGGGAACATAGGGTGTCAGAGGCCTGTCTGCCATCCCCCCTCCCACCTCAAGCCGACAAGCCTTGTCTCATCTTGCCGTGGAAGCTCAGCAGGGGAGGGCCTGGTTCATCCTTCATTGTTAATCCTTCCGACAACCCGGGACTTGGAGCTTCTCCAAGCCTCAGTTTCCCTTCTAGAAGTTGGGGCTGACATGGCCTGTTCTGGCCACCTCTCAGGGCTGCCTGGGGGAGGAAGCTGGGGACAGGCCCTGGGACAGTAATACCAGCAAACATTTATGCATTCCCTACTGTGGGCCAGGCCTTGTTCTAGAGGCTGGACATCTTTGCCTCATTAGCGCCCCACAACCTGATGGGCTAGGGGTAGTTGTGGCTGCATTTTACAGAGAGGCCAAATAACTTGCCCAACGTCACTAAATTAGCAAGTGTCAGAGGCAGGTGTGGAATCCAGGGTGGTGGGAGTTTAGATTCTTTCAACCCTCAGAACTGGGGGCTCCTGTCTGTGGCTGCAGTCTCCGTGGGTGCTGGGACCCACCTGCCCTTCCTGGACCGGCTTCTGCCTCTAGTTGGAGACCAGTGTTGCTTCGAGGGTGACGACTGCGAGAGCTCTGGGCACAGCTGTTTCTCTCAAACTGCCTCCTTCCCGCTCTCCTGCTCACAAGGCTGCAGGGACCCCCAAGGCTCCCAGCTCAGCCAGCGCATGCAGTCAGGATCACTCTTGAATCCTTTCCTGCCTTCTACCCAGTCCAACCTGGGGCAGCCTGGGGTGAGGGGGGGCGTCCCCTGCCTCCCCAGCCTGCCCAGGCTGCCTGTCCTCTCCAGGCTCTAGTCTTCCTCTGACTGTCTTTTCCACCATCCCCGTCTTTCCTGTCCCTCCCCATTTGCGCTCCCAGCTCCCCTGCTGCAGGAAGCCTCTAAGAATCAGAGCTCAAAGGGCACCAGGCTGGCTTAGTCGGAAGAGGATATGACTCTTGATCTTGGGGTTGTGGGTTTGGGTGTAGTGATTACTGAAATAAAAAAAAGAAAAGGAAAGGAAAAAAGAAAGAATCGCAGCTCAGAAGAAGTCCCCAGCCCCCCGGCTTTTCTTACCAGGTCCTCAGTTTATCTGCTCCTCGTTTGTCCAGACCTCCCACCCTTCCCGTCAGACTGGGAGCCGCCTGCTCTCTTCTTGAGACCTCTACCATTTGGCGCCCACGCCAGGGGCAGCTGGGAGAGACGGCTGGGGCCTGGCTCCTGGGCAGGCTGTGGGAGCTAGGGTGTTGTGACGACCAGCCCAGTGATGTTGCCCATGACCACAAGCAAGCCTCTGGCTCTGCCTTGCCCGCTCTGGCACTGGCTCCTGGGATCACAGCTCAAAGAGCCAGAATCCTAGCCAGATCACCTGGCTTGTACTCTTCATCTACAGAGGGGGAGGTGAGGGCCCAGGGTGGTCCAGGATCCCATGGAGACTTGGGGGCCAAGCTTCCCAGGCAGGCGCATCTGATGGCCACTGCCCACTCTGGACTTTCAGGGACTCTCTGTTTCTCTTGAATTTTGGGGGCCGGGGGGGCCCTCTCTTTCTTCCTGTCCTGCCCACATTCTTGCGGTTTTCCTGTGACACCTGAGCATTCTTGCGAAGTCCCCTTTGACAATGCATTAGACAATACCGGCTGGAATCCTGGGCTAGGGCCTTCGTGGGCTGTCGTTCCCCTGCTTAGATCCCATCTGTACTGGGACCTTCTGCTCACAGCCAACCTAAGCCTGCAGTCTGCTGTTGTCAGAGCCAAATAGGTTCCATAGGGATGGCAATCAGGAGGGTTTCTGTCTTCCTGGCATGTTCGAGAAGGATCTCTGGTGGGGGGAGACACTTGCTCACTCCACCTTCCTTCTGTTTTGACAAGCTAGAGCCCTGTGTTTACACTGAGGGTGAGGTGAGAGGAGAGATGTGAGGCTCCTTCCTCCACCCATAAGCAACAAAACACCCTTGCCATCAGGAAGTTCTTCCCTTAGTCTAACCTCAATTTCCTATGCTTTTGTACTAGCCGTTGGGAGAAGGCGTGCATTTGGCCAGCCAGTCCAGTCACAGGGCACTTTTGTCCCCTGTCCCATGCTGCTGTGTGTGTGTGTGTGTATGTGTGCGTGGGGGGTGCAGTGATTGTTGTCTCAGTGGGTGGGGATGGAAACTCACCCCCATCCAGGACCTTCCCAGCCCAAGGCTCCTCCCTCTCTGGAACAAAGGCCTAGGGAGGGCTGGGTAAGCAGTTAATTGCTCTAACCTGTCAAGGCTGCTGATCACTCACCTCTTGGTCCCCTTCCTCCCCGTTCTGGCTGACCCCCCCACCCCTGAGATCATAGGCAGCACTCCAGGAGGGGCCTCAGAGAGCAAACCCCTGGTCTACTTGCCTCCCATTTTACAAGGGAAGAAACTGAAGCCCAGAAACACAGAGCTCCGTATGACCCAGCAACACCATCAGGCTGAAAAGCAGGCCCACCCCCGGATGGGGGGAGATGTGCTTTTTGTATTGGGAACTGAGCAGCCCCAATGGCCTGGAGCTCCTGGCTGGGGGGTCCCCGCGGAGGGAGGCTTCCGATCCCTGGCCCACAGTCCCGGCAGTGGCGACCTGAGTGGTGACCCCAGGTCCTTTTCCTCCCATGGGGGTGGTTATCAGTTGTCAAACTCCCAGCCCACCAGGAAGGGATTGTTTGTGCCCTTCTGCCGCAGACGCTGGCTGCGCAACGGCTCCAGTGACTTCCAGAAGCCACACGGGCCCACGGAAAGATATTGTGCCCATCCCGCTCTCTCTGGGCCTTTCACTGCCCCTCTTAGGTCCCCTTTTTATAGCCTCCTCAGGTGGGCTGCTGGTGGTCCTTTCTCTTGTCCCGTCTCCATCCCATCTGTGGTCTGGACATGCAGGAGAGAGGGTCCAGCCAGTAGCCTTCTCCCTGCCTGCCTCAGCCTCCCCCCCCCAACTGCTGCTGCTGCTCGATCTTCCTCCTCTCGGGACTGTATCCCTCTCTGTCCTGGCATGAGCTTGGGGCCATGTACAGAGCAGGAGCAGAGCAGGAAGGCAGAATGTGAAGCTCAGAGAGGGTAAGTGGCTTGCTTAAGGAAACACAGCCTGCAAAGGAAAGAACCAGACCCGCTCCAGGGACCCTCGGCCAACTCCTAGGGATCAACCCCCCAATCCTCTTTCTCTGCCTTCTCTTCCTCCTTCTCCTGCTTGGTGCTCTTTGATTTCTCTTGGTGCCTCAGAGGGCCCAGAGGGAATGAGGAGTTGAAGGGCCCCTGACTGTTTCTTCTTTGTCTAGAGCCCCCAGGCCTGCGTGGTTGTGGCATCTTGCCCCATGAGCCGCTCCTACCCATGAGGCTCTCCCACCCTCCCTCCCTCTTCTCAGGCTCCTGCCTGGAAGGGGCCAACCAGGTTCAAGAGCTCCCCATGCTGGGCCCATTGACGATATTTTTTGTTTAACAAACAGAACCCACTTGGTACATGGTAAGTGCTTCATAAATGCTTTTCAAAAATTATCCCATTTGACCCTGACCAGCCCATGACACGGATGCCTACTGAGAAACAGAAAGGTTAGATAATCTGCCTGAGGTTAAACAGCTGGCCAGAGGTGGAACCAGGATTCAAATCCAGGAATGGGGTTTCTCCTCAGGCCCTTGAGGCCTTTATAGGGAGACATGGAGGGACATGAGTTAACAGTCTGAGCTAACAGCCCCCTCTGTAGAGCTGGTGGACCAGCTGGGGCTCTTTGGCCCCAGCGATCAGGGTCCCCAAGAGGCTGGCATCCATGGCTCCTGGTGTCCTAACTTGAAGAGCACCTGTCTCAAGGCCAAGGCTCTAGGGTTGGGAGGCTCCAGTTCTGCTAAAGACCTCAGAGGGCGTCGGCTTGGCCCCTGAGCACTGGACCCCAGCCCCTTGAGCCCCCTGCCTGTGCCTATATACGTGTCTCATCCCCATGGCCCAGGCATAGGGTGATATCAGCGTTGGCATTCAGAGAGAAAAGCCACCCATCCAAGCCAAATTACATAGCTCATGAAGCATTCCTTTTAAGGGATTAAAGCGGTTTCGAGAGGAGGTGGCTTTGCAGGGACCTGCCTCCCAGGGCAGCGGGCTGTTTTCCTAGGGCACACAGCCCAGCAGTGCTGGGCTCTGCACAGGCGGCTGGGGCTGGGGGAGGGAACGCTCCACCTCAGTGGACGGTTGTCCTTCTCCAGCTGTCACTTTCCCTCCTCATCCCCCCACCCTGGTCGCCCTGGGTGTGGGTCGGGGGAGAGGAAAACAAACCTGCAGACCTGAGTTCAAGTCCCGATTGTACTCCTGGTGGTAGTGTGACCTTGGGCAAGGCACTTAACCTCTGGGATGCTGTTTCCTCATCTCTATAGTAGGGGAAATGGCCACTGCGGAGTGTGGCTGAGGGGGCTAATGACACATGTTTGCACAGTTCCTGCAGAGAGCTGGGTGCAAACAGATGCTCCATACGTGTTAACCTTTCTCCCTCTGCCCTACTCCACAGATGCCTGCCTAACGGGGGACCCTAGCAACATGCAGAGGAACACCAAGACAGGGAGACATGCACAGGAGAGGACTGAAGTGAGGGCAGAAGGATGGGGCTCTGGTGTACTGAGTAGGAGGGAGAAGTTGAGTTTTCCTCATCTGTAAAATGGGCACAAAAGGACTTCTTTCATAAGGTTGTTGAGGGAAACTGAGGGAAACATGTAAAGCTTCCAGCATGGTGTCTGACATGTAGTTAGCAGCTGATGCAGCTGTTACTATTATGACCCTTGTTTCTGGGCAGGGCAGGGGGTGCAGAGCTGGGAGGGTCAATCTGGAGAGGTCTCCTGGAGGAGGAGAATGAGGAAGGGGTTCTGGAGGTGAATAGGACTTTCTCAGAGCTCTTGAAGACCATGCCCTGGGGTGCAGATGGACAGGAGTGCCTCACACCAGCATGCCAGCCAGGGCAGTGGGGTCTAGGAAGTCTGGGTGCTGGGGACTCACTCCCTCTCTCATGTGGGTACCGGGGAGGCCTGGCTGCCTGTCTGCTTCTGACTCGAAACATCAATTCTCCGCATTCCTATCTCCTGACAGGCTACCTCCTTCTGGAGGCCCGGGTATCCCTTTGGCTCAGCTGATCCTTCTGACCTCCAGAAGCTGAGCAGGGTCAAGGCCTGGAAAGAAGGACGGACTCTTGGGAGCTCACCTCCTTTGTCCACCTGCCTTGGAGTCATATGGCAAACCATGTCTCCATCAGCCATTCCCATGAGAGGGTATCCGCCTGGCCACATTTGGGGCTCCTCCCTAGTGTCCGCCGAGGGGGACAGTGACCCCACGCCACGAAGCATGTTATTACGCAGATATCCCTCAGGGCCATCCCGGGGCCTCTTTCTCCCCCAGCGCCTGCCCGGATGGCTCAGGGACTGCCCTTGCCATCTCTCTGTTCAGAGCCAGCCTGCTGGCTCCTCATTGGCTGGGATCAGGGGTGGGGCAATCCTCCCGAAACACAGAGCTCAGCCACCTGCCCAGGTCTGAAGGTCCTTAGGTTTCAGGACCCACCCCCCTACTTCTGCTCACCTTGCCAATCAGGGAAGCAAACTTATCATTGAGGACCTTCATCTCCTCCTTCTCTTGGTTCTTCTGCTGCTGGATGGCTGGGTCCACTTTGAGGTCCAGGGGCACCAGCAGGCTGGGGTTCACGGTTACCTTGGCAATGGTGCCAGCCGCCTCACAGCCTGTGAGGCTGCGGGAGCTGAAGCCTGGCCCGGGGGTCCCGCAGATGCCCCATCCCGAGGTCCCAGGCCGGGGGCCGCCCGCAGGGGTCACCTCACAGCTGCTAAGGCTGCTGAAGCCAACGACGCAGGAGCGGCAGGCCATCGCGGCCCCCGGGCCCGGGACGCGGGAGGGCACGGGTGTGTGTGTGTGTGAATGAGCCTTTGAGGGGTGGCAGGCAGCTGGCTCTGGTCTCAGGCAGGGCAGGCTGGGGACTGAGGAGCAAACACCTGTCCTACAGTGCTCATTAGCTCCAGGAGGGCGGGACGCCTCCCAGCCCGACCAACCTGTTAGATGATGCGATGTTCCTGCCCCTCCCCCCGCACCACGCATGCATCTCCTCCCCAGGGCCTGAGACCTGCCTGCTTGAGGGGGCTCTTCACAGCACCCTCCCCCCCATGGAGCTGGGTCTGGCTCCAGGGGAGGGGGGGTGAGGCCAGGCTGGCAGGCAGGCTGGGTGGGAGTGCGGTGGTGGCCGAGGAAGGGCAGACCGGAGGAGGAAGGAGAGAGAGGCGCGGAGAGCACCTCTCAACACAGACCTCACTGCATACCTGAGGGCTGACGTAGCTGGGCTTACATACTTCTGGAAAAGATGAGGCAAGCGCGGGCTGTGCGCTCCTGGAGTGCAGGGCAGCCATCCCGGGCAGCATGCCATCCTGGCACTAGGAAACAACACCTTTTTATTTATCTTCTAGCTGCCTGAGAGTCTCCTGGGCTTATCTTCTCTTCCTGTCTTCCTCCCTCTCTCCCTCCTTCCTTCCTTTGACCTAGGGTTTATTGAGCACATACTAGCACATCCCACTGTCTTAGAAGATGGAGAGGAAAATGATGGCCGAGACCAAGAGCCCTTGGCTTTGGACAGGTGAGACTTGAGCTCCAGACTCAGCCTGGCCGTTCGCTGCCGGTGTGACCTCAGGCAGGTTAGCTGATTTCTGTGTCAAGGACGGAAATGCCCACCGCCCCTGCCAGGGGAGCCAGTGTAGCACAGAACTTAGTGGAGGGCAGGGCACGAAGCCCTCAGTAAATGGTGGCTAAGACCTGCGGTCTGCCTGCGGGGAGATGGTGGGCTCGCGGGCAGCTCTTCCTTGAGGGCTATGGGAATGTGTCCCTGGCCCCCACCCTTCCCCTCCTTGCCTTTCCTCTGTCCTCTGTTTCATCTTAAGAATGAGGTATCACAGAAAAGATGCCACGTGGTTCCCACAGAGCCTCAGATGGGGCGGCAGAAGGTTCTATGAGCCCATAGGCCCCCTCCATCACCGCTTCCCGCCCCCTTCTCTCACTTCTGCAGTCGCTGACTCTCTGGGGCCTGCTCTTCCTTCCTCCCTGGCCTGTTGTCCCTGGATACTCTTGCCCTGGCCGGCTGGCCCTGTGTGCCCTCCCTGGGTCTGGTGTGCCACTCTGGAGTGGTGGGGCCACAGCAGGGAGAGGGCTTGTCTGGGAGAGCCTCAGGTGGATAGGGATGGAAGGGACAGGCTGGAGACGGGAGCCACTGTCCTGATCACATGGCCCATTCCAGGACTCCTGCCTCCCAGGCTGGCCTTCTTTTCCACATAGTGGGCCCTTCTGGCTCCCTAGGGTACAGCAAGCTGTCCCAAGGCCACCACTGTGTCCTGAGGCTGAGTACCCGGGATCAGGTACTTTTGATTTGTGACCTGGTCACTGTGATGGTGTCTGCATCCCCACTTCTCACACATGGTGCCCCATTCCCCACTCAGCACCCATTGCCTGGCCTACCCCAACCTCCCTGACCTGGTATCTGGATGGCATGTGCTTTACCTCAGCGGCTTTACCTCCCCCACCGTGGTCGCCCCTGAGTGCTCTGTGGGGACAGGGAAGGCAGGCAATGGCCTCCGTGCTCTGCTGGGGCCAAAACAACAGCTAACATGTCCGGTATGTCCCAGATGCTTTACCTGGATTAGTTCCCTTAGTCCTCATGGCACTTGAGGTAGACGAGTTTGTTCTCATTAGCCCCAGTTTACAGAGGAGGAAACTGAGGCTCAGAGGGGGTTAAGATCTGAAGGCACACTGTCGGATTATGAGCCCCCCTTATCTTAGCCTTTAAGCCTGGGGACCCCCGGAAAGGGCAGGGGGGAATACAAGAAGAACTGTCTTCTCACTGTCCGGGGCTCGGTTCCACCGCCTTATTTTCTGTGAGCGGGATGCCCCAATTCTTGAATGTGCCTCCGCGTCTCTGAAGCCTGCCACTTCTTGCTGACTTGTGCTGACGTCTGTCAGTCTCTGAGTTGTAACAAGTCACAGTTAATGGCCAAGTCCCTGGCTTGGCGGCTGGCATGGCAGGACTGGCCTTCCTTGGGGTGGCTGGGCCTCGTGGAGGCATGGAGGGCATGCTGGCCTGGGGCTCTGGCTGGGGTGGGGCATGGGTCCTGCTGTTTTCCCTCTGGCCCCGCAGTGTCTCTTGGGTGCAGTCCTAGAGGTGTCTTTAGCTGTCACAGCTCTGGCTGCCAAACAGGAAAGGCAGCGACAAAGCTGCAAACAAACAAAACTGCTTGATGCACCCAGTCCCTCCTCCTTCCCTGCCCCTCCCCCTTTCCTCGCTAAGCTCCACCCACACCAGCCTTTAGCCCCACATGGCGGTGCGGGGCAGCGGAGGGTGGAGTGTGCAGGCCCCCGCCTCTCCAGCCTCACTGAGGACCGGACATGACCCTCTCCTGGCCTTGGTTCAGAGCTGAACCACCTAGGGTTTCTGGCCTCCAGGGGATCAGGAAGCCCTGCAGGGAGGGATGGGGAGAGAGGAAATGGAAGGTGGGCGGCATTTTCAGTCTCTGTGGGGATGTTTAAGTACCTGGGCAGTCTCCACACCCCTCCTAGATGTACTCACAAACAAACCTACTTTGGGTTTCAGGTGGGGCGCAAGCTTGGGTGACCCCAGCTGGAGATGGCATCTGGACGTCCTGGGCCCCTCTGGTCCAGGGACAGAAATCTCAGTCCCCCTTCCTCCGCCTTGAGCCTCCCTCCTGTGCTCCTGGTCTCCCGGAACTGGGGACAGGATATAATTCTGATCCTCCATGAGGCAAAGGGCTGGCAGGAGTTAGGGTACAGGCGGGGGTGGGGGTGGCTAGGGCCGGGCTGTCCGACAGGCCCCTGAAATAGGTCCTCAAAGAAGCAAAAGTTTTTTTTTTTTTTTTTTCTTTTCCTCATGTTCTCTGCTTCTTCCTTTCTTCCATTTCTCCATGGCACTTCCTCCCAACTTTGGAGCTGTCCCTGTCTTTGTCATCCGCCTCTTCTCTCTTGCGTCCCTGCCCACTCAGAGTCCAGGGGCAGGGATTCTCCTCCTCTCAGCCCTGGGGAGGAGAGGTGTCCGCCTTGGCCCACACAGTCTGGCTAGGTGGCCTTATGGGAATGGCATCCTTGTGTCACAGTTTCAGTTTCTGCTCTGTGCTCTGCTCCCTATTTGGCCCGAGGCCCGGCCCTTGGAGCCAGCAGGCCTTGGATAACTCAGAGCAGCAACACATGGTTGCTGGATGAATGTTCCAGTGAAGACATCTCAGCTCAGCTGGGGCTCTGGGGCGGGACGTGGCTCTTGGGGAGACAGGGACTCTGTGCAGGGAAGACTCTTCCTCTCATTCCCGGGCCTGATGGAAAGGTGAGGCTACTCCTCCAGGAAGACTTCCCAGATGAGCCTGCTCAGTTTCCTGTAGGCGTTTCTTCCTCTCTCCCAAAGGCATATCCACATTTGGGCTCACTGAGTCAGGGCCCTCTTGCCTGGCCAGGCTAAAAACTCCGACCTCCTTTCTCTGGACTGTCCTTTTGAGCAGGTCTGTCCTGAGGCTGCTGGAGGGAGGCCTGGCCCAGGGGCCAAGTTTTGGGAATGGGATGACCTTGTCTACGCACAAAGAATTTCTGAGGGCTCCCGAGCTGGGGGATGGAGAGCTGCGAGTAGATTTGGGAGGGACAAGGGCCAAGAAAGGGGAAATAACAGCAAAGATGGGGAGATTAAAACAATGCCTGTTATGCCTCCTCCACATGCCAGGCAGTCCATGTGGAGACCTGGGAGAGGTCCTGACCTGCATGAGGGTATCTGGGATACCTTGTTGGGGGTGGGGGCAGTGAAAGCTTGAAGGGAGGGGGAAGAGCTGTCCAGGAGGGGAGGGAAGGCTGTTTCAGGTTGGGACAGCAGCAAGGGCTGTGGGGGTGAGGGGTGGCGGCCACGACAAATAGCCACTATTCGGAATTCCGGAGGTTCGGAATTACGAAGCTCAGAGGAGCAGTGTTCCCCTTGGGAGCCCAGGGAGGCTGCCTTTAAGGCATTTCGTTACTTTGCATGAAGTCTATCAGTAGATGATGGGATTAAAGTCTAGAGGATTCTTTGGGACGTCAGACAGGATCCTTTACCCCTACTGCCCTTCTTTGTGTCTCATCTCGCTACCCTCCTTCTCCCCACGGCCCCTGCCAAGCTCCACCCCCACCGCACTGGCCCCATATCTCTGAAACCTCTGGAGTGATGTCATGAGTCTGTGCTGGAGAGTGCAGGTGTGGAATGTTTGCATTCTCACACAGGACTCCACTGGACGGCGCTGCCTGTGGAGCAGGCACCCGAACAGGCCAGGAATCCAGAGATGCCTTCAGGCTGTGAAGGGGCTAAAAGGGACACTGGCAGGGCTGCATGGTGGTGGCAGAGCCCTGGACCTGGGCATGGGAGACCTGGTTTCTGGTCTGGGCTCCGCCACTCACCGTCTGTGTGGTTTGGAGCCACATGTTTGGCCTCTCTGGGCCTCTATGGCTCTCAAATTTGGTTGTATAAGCTATGGGAATGATTGCTGTTTTTTTTTTTAATTAAAAGGTTTTTTTCCCTCCCGTTTGGTTCAACATGTTCCTCAGACTGCTGTGGACTCCTTTGCTATGCCCAGTGAATCGAGGTTCTTGGCCTGGCAGTATGTTGGGGAGAGCAGGCAGAGCTGTGGGTATCCTATAATGAGGGCAGGCCTCGGGGGCCAGGGAGAGGTGAGCATAGGCTAATTACACTTTCCTGTCTTCACAGCACTTAACCCAATTTGTAATTATTTGTTGTTGGTTGTTTATTTGTGCCTGCCTCCCCTGCCAAGTTCTGTGAGCACAGGAAGCGTGTGGTGGTTTTGTCCCCTCGGTGCCCAGCACAGAGTGGGTGCTCAGTGACCATTTCCAGAATGAGTAAAAGGCTACCCTTCTGTACAGGGCACTTGTTATCCTGTGTGGCCACACAGGAGATGGCAGAAAGCGCTTTGGCTGGTGTACAGTGACGCCAGATGGGTTGTGGAGGACAGTCAAGATGGGGAGACAGCCCCATTTCTGGAAGCTCGCTCTGGAGCCCCTGCCTTCCAGGACCTGGGTGCCTC